TCTGTAGTATGGATATAAGCTATCGTCAACTCTTCCAACTTCTTCCTTCTCAGTCTAGGATGAATAATACTCTCCCTTTTTCTTTCTATCATTACTTTATAATTACAATTATTATTCTGCTCAGGGTCACACTACATTTTTTTCTATTTTTTTTTCCATTTCATTTTACAAATATATAGCACTCATCATGTGCCAGGCACTGGGTTCTCCAATGAGGGTGGAGACTGTGGCTCTTTGGTTCAACACTATACCTCTAGCACTCTACCTGGCACTGACTCCTTAATTCACACAGCAATTACCAATTTTGCAATTGCAATGTAAATTGCAATTACATCTGGCTTACCTTTCAGCAAGTAGTATAGCAAGATAGTTAAATGGACAGGTGATGTAGTGACATTGCCTAGTTTGGAATTTCAGTTCTGTTACCTACTGATTAAATGGCTTTGGGCATTGTATTTCATGTCTCTGAGCCTCAGTTTCCTCATTTGTCAAATGAGCTCAATAACAGCATTTACCTCATGGAGTTATTTTCTTGATTAAAGAAGATAACATAAAGTGCTTAGGCAAATATCTGACACAAGGTAAGCCCTTGAAAAGTCTTAGGTATTATTATTATTAATAATTGTTTCTGCCACATTGATCTAGAAACATGGATTTGAATGACTTAAATTCATGGTAAAAACTGTATCGGTATAGCTACAATTTCCATTTCTTGAGCTACTAGACAAATTGACTAGTTCAACAGGTACATCTCTGTAAAGTTACCCAATTTCTTTTCTGCTTGTAGAATTTGGTGTATATTACATTTGCACGTTTCGTGAGTAAACTACAAATGTGTCCATGCCACAGTCTTTGCCTTTTTATGGAGCTTTCTTACCGAGATCATAAACCACAGTGAACACTGAAGAATTTTAACCTAGAGTTAGAACCCCCATAACAATACAACTTTCTTGAGATCCTAATTCTCTCCTCTCTGGATATAACATTTATTGTTAGAATTGGGAATAATACTATGGATATTTGGTTCTCCTTTTCCTTATATTTGCTACCTAGAAAGGCCTTTTTATGCTGTAAGACTTGTTCTGTTTTGTCGTAACCATAATTATGAGACTTTCCTAGGGCTAATAACACGTAGTTATGAATACGTTAGGAAATGTTTTCTTTTTAAAAGAACTTTACAATTTCACCGATTTTTGTGTGAGAAGACATACTAATCAAATTTAGATATAATTTCCATTCAGATTAATCTTTCCAAATAAACAGAAGTCAGACAATAGTTAAATCAAGGTGTTAATTGTAGTTGGCAAACTACAGACATCATGAAATCTTACTGTCTTAACAATGGCTAATTTTAAACGGTTCTCCTGTTTCCATCTTTAAGATCCTGTGGAATGTTCTATCTAGAAGGGTGTTTCTTATACGAAACCCATGAACAATGTTGACAGATACAGTGGTCACATGGAATGAAAATTTGAAACTATGCAATATAAAGACATCAATAAAGTCTGAAATAATGTGAGTTTCCTTCAATTAAAAATTTCATCAAATTATCACAATTTTAAATTTCAAACTGCTGTTTTATTATTGCCACATGGGGGCACCACTTAAGCCGGTAAACAGAGACCCGGCCATTCCTTGTCAACTTTGGTCTCCCATAGCGAGAGGTCTTCAGGAACATATATCCCTGTGATAAACTATATCAGCCCTATTTTCATTGCCAGAGTAGCAGGGGTTGTTTCCTTCCCCCCTATACTTTTGCTAGTACAGGGTATTTTTATAAAGTCTCTTAACCAATTAAACTTTTAGTTTTTAATTGAAAGTTTTTGCTTCTCAATGAAGACGATTAATTAAAAATCCCTTGAGAGTATAAAGAGACTCATGTACTAGCTTTGGAATTCGTTCAAAGAAATTGAGGACTGGAAGAGAACTCTGAGGGTACCTCATCTAACTCAATGTCTCAGCACACCAAGAAACCAAGTCTAGTAACTAGGTTAGGATAACATAGGGAGTTGAGGGCAGATGGGGATGTTGTTCTTTCTCCTGAGCCAAGATGCTTCTGAATGTGAAGTGCTAATCACACTTGAAGGGGGTGAGTACATAAGGACACTTAAGTTGTGCCTCTATATACAAGCCAGTGTGAAAAGAAATAAAAAGCAGTTCAAGTGTGAACGATCAAAGAATGAAGACTGTGAAGCCAGCTCATACACTGAAGGCAGCTCATTTTGATTATTTGAGTAGGTTAAATTAAAAATAACTTCTGTGTCATCTCACGTATGTTAAGTATTTAGACTGTTTTGCCTTTCACAAGTGCCTAAATCCAATATGGCCACAAAATGTCTTTAAAGACATTTATTAGCTACAGGAAGTAATCATAAAATTCTCCCAACAATAAATGTGTTTCTCAGAGAAGCATCTGGCACTTCGGAAAGTATTATTCCAACTGCACGGCTCCAGCATTGGCAAAGTCAAAACTATCTCAAATTGGTGATCTACAACATGGAAGGCAATTTCTTCATAGTATTAATGAGTCATCTCTTTGATATTTTTGTTAGGTATGCAATCTAAAATTTTTGCCTTTTTTTGGTTTGAGGGTAGAATGGTTGTTCTCTAGAAAAATGATATTAAAATATTATTTTGCCAAAGTGCTTGCTTCTCAAGGGAAGAGTGCTATATACTTTCAGAAATTAAAAGAAAGAAAAATTCACCAGGACCCTTTTGTAACATCGACATGAAATAATTATTTACCCTCTTGGCCTTGATATTGAGTTTATGGGACAAAGTTACATTTTAGGGTAATCAATGTTTCAGTAAGTTGTGTCCACTCTGTGTTTGTAAGCCATGTCACTCTGCTTGGGTCTCAAACATAACCCATCCCTAATTTAATCACAGTCAGTAGAGACTTTATTAATTGGTAAATATAGTCTTTAATTCTGAAATATTTGAGAGTTGCCTTGTAGTAATTTTCAAAAGTACATAAACACATTGGAAAAACACAAAGAAGGACAGAAAAAGCCTTCTTTGAGTCTTTTCTTGACTAATATCATTTTAGAGAAAGGTCTTAAATATTTCTTAGTGGGTAACCTCTTCTTTTAGATTGTGGTTCTCAGATTTTTGGGGGGGAGGGGTTTCAGATGTCTCTGATAATCCAAATGAATTGAATCCATAGATTTTTAGATCAATAATTCTGAATAGCCAGATTCATACTCTACAGTCAGAGAAGTCTGGTGACCTGCTAAAGGTCACACAGCTCTGTTTTGTCTGCCTGTACTATATTTCCTGATTCTCTGAAAACAAATTAATGAACCTCAACTCTTAAAATGCATACAGCCAGATACATATGGACAGCAAGAGTATACGGATTTAAAAACAGAGCAGAAAAAAGTAACTTGAACAGAATGTGGCATTTCCCTTGGTCTGTTGTTAACAGCCCACATATATCTTAAAAAAAAACCCAAAAACCTCCACCCTGGTACTTTTTTTCGTCACCATTTAAAAATGAATCAAATGGACATTTAGAATGTGTGGCATTGGGAATGTATCCCATCTGGGGATAAATGGAAAAGAGCTTTATCCAGCAGGGCTGTGTTTTCAGTGGTTGTCTGGCTAAAGTGGACGTGTATTTGGTCTCTTCTCTTTGGTCACGTTTTTAAAGCCAAACACAGTATTTTAATTATATATTTTCAGGACTCCAAAGCCAGTAGCACTGAATTTTCCTTTTTGCCATTTTAGAAGAAAAAATAAATATGGACATGATTTTTTTAAAAAATGCCTTTGGAATTTGAAGATGTGAAAGAAACGTAAAAAATAATTCATTCTTCTTATTCTGCATTTTATTTTTTTTTGGCTCTGAAGCCCATCAACACTTTGTTTTATTCAAAACTAGAGACTCCTGCCTCTTAGTTGTTACCTTTGGGATAGCTGTTTTCTAAACATTGTTCCAATTAGGGTTTTCCACACAAATTCTAAGGGTTGGATAGCCCATACACTCACATATACTCTGCAGTTTAAACTTAGACAAGGGTCCGTAACAAGCCAATGATCTATGAACCTGTTTCTATGCTCCTGCTGTCAGCATCCATTGCTAACTGTTCTAAAAAAGTTTAAACCATTTTCATGATAATGCTGAAAACTGCAAAAAAGTAATTGTGGCTAGGTGAAGTGAAATATTTTTTGTTCACTGTTCTAATAAGTCCACAGTAATGAGGCTCATCTCAGCTTTTCTCAGTCTCAAGTTTTTGGTCCTGAATATTGCACTGTAGGCGTTATATTTTAATTATTTTCCCAATCTAAAAATAGAAATTATTCGATGTGGAAAAGCATCTCTTTTTATTTAGCCTTTACTTTCGGAGGATTCTAATGTTTCACTGCTAACTCTTATTTTAGTACTGCACACCTGGACACAACATGCAGTACAATATATGTAGCCAGGCTTGGGAGAATTTATTTCAATTTACATACAATCCTCCAAATCCTCTGGCGAGCATGATGTGAAACCTGACACTGCCATGTCTCCCCAGCAAGATCTTCCTTTGCTCTTGGTGTTAATAGCCTAAGGCTTCAACGATCCATCCAGGGAGGCCCGGTGGGGCTAAGAAGTCGGGAAGAGGGGTGACTGCGGGGCTTGTTGCGCTGAAGATTTACAATGTACTTCTTGCAGGCAGCTCAGCAACCCCCTCTGTGGCTGTGGGTGTCTGGTGTGACAGAGCGGAGAAAAGCTCTCTAATCTCCCAGTGCCTGCCTCTGCCTCTCAGCCGCCCTCCTCCCACCCGCCTTCCTTTCCCTGTCTCCTAGCGCTCTCCTTAGTCTTTCTCGGGGAGTTTCAGTCCCTGAATGCAGCCAGAGTAGCCTTGGCAATCTAAACCTGGAGCCTGTGTACACACGTACACACACACGTACACACACACACACACACACACGTGCACACACATGCACAGGCACTAGCACACACGCACTCCGGCTCTCCCCACCGGGATACAGAGCTAACCCGGAGCTTCATCTACCTGAAGGGATGGTCCGGCCGGACACTTCTTGCTCACTTGCCATCTCCAGAGGTCAGAGCAACGTCGGAACAAGGGAGGCTTGTTGTCCGGTCTGCAACCTCGCGCCGTTTGTCGCCACCGCCGCTTAAAGTGTCCAGGGTGGAGGAGAAGGCTTTTCCAGGGCAGATTCCCGGCGCAGCTCTGCGGCCCTGGGACTCCATCGGCTGGTTCACCGCGGTCTCTTCTCCCCCCCGGCCATCCTCTGGGTCCCTGGCGGCGGGGTGCATGGCTCGGGTGCCTTGGCTGCCGCCGCCGCTGCTGCTGCCACGAGCATATCCCACCCAGAGGACTGAACGCCGCCGCTAGAGTGGGGAGAGAAAGCGGAAACCCTAACTTCCCTTTCCACCACTCCCTTTCTTTCCCAGCCGAGGACCCACTGGAAGACTCCCGCGGAAAGCCAGGCGAAAGCTCCGCACAGGGGAGGGTGAGCCCGGAGCCGCAGGCGCACAGGGCTGAGGGCAGCATGCGCCCCGGCGTCCGGCGCCCGCCGGAGAAGTAGCGCGCGCGTTGGGGCGAGCGAGCGGCTTTCCAAGTTGGGCGCGTCCCAGAGCTCGCCGCCCCGCGCTTCCGCCGCGGGTGTCAGGAGAGAGGCGGGGCTGATGGGGGACACCGAGGTTGCTGTCGCCTGTGGCTAGAGCCCGTCTTAAAAGCATCCAGACCAGCATCTCCAGGGTCCCAGCTGGCGTCTAGTCCTCCGCACGCGCGCACTCTCTGATGCCTGCGCTGGCAGTGGCCCCGGCGGCCTGCCCGCGGGGGGTGCCGGAGGGGGCGGGGGACGAGGAGGAGGAGGCGGTGTGATGGCCCTGGACGGCGAGCGGGGGGAGCAGGAGGAGGAGAAGAAAAAGAAGAAGAAGAAAAAGAAGAGGAAGAAGAAGAAGGAGGAGGAAGAGGAGGAGGGGGCCGAGAAGAGCAGCTCAACCTTCGCGGCCGCGATGGGTGAGAACGAAGCCGCGCTCCGGGCCAGCGGCAGGGGGCTCTCAGACCCGTGGGTAGACTCCGTGGGGGTGCGACCCCGCACCACCGAGCGCCACATCACAGTGCACAGGCGGCTGGTACTGGCCTTTGCCGTGTCCATCGTGGCGCTGCTTGCGGTCACCATGCTCGCGGTGCTGCTCAGTTTGCGCTTCGACGAGTGTGGGGCGAGCGCTGCGCCGGGCGCCGACGGCGTCCCTGCCGGCTTCCCACCGCGCGGTGGCAACGGAAGCTTTCCGGGTTCAACCCGGCGCAACCACCACGGTGCTGGCGGGGACTCCGCGCAGCCGGAGGTGGGCAGGGAGGCCACCCCTGGGACCCCGTCCGCCCAGCCGTCGGAGGAGGAGCGGGAGCAGTGGCAGCCGTGGACGCAGCTGCGCCTGTCCGGCCATCTCAAGCCGCTACACTACAATCTGATGCTCACCGCCTTCATGGAGAACTTCACCTTCTCCGGGGAGGTCAACGTGGAGATCGCGTGCCGAAACGCCACCCGCTACGTCGTGCTACACGCCTCCCGGGTGGCGGTGGAGAAGGTGCAGGTGGCTGAGGACCGCGTGGCTGGGGCTGTCCCGGTGGCTGGCTTTTTCCTCTACCCGCAAACCCAGGTCCTGGTGGTGGTGCTGAATAGGACCCTGGACGCTCAGAGGAATTACAACCTGAAAATCATCTACAACGCCCTGATCGAGAACGAGCTCTTGGGCTTCTTCCGCAGCTCCTACGTGCTCCACGGGGAGAGACGGTAAGAAGGGGGGCGTTGCCGGGCACCGCCCCACCCCGCAGGCTGCTCTAACCACTGCGCGGCCGGCGACCCCAGGGACCCTGCTAGCTTCCGATGCCCGGGAGCGAGGGGTGGGGGAAGGGTACAAATGTGGGTGGGACCATCACCCAGAACCCTCAGGGTCACCCAGATGCCTGACCTCTCACTGCTGCCCATTCCACAAACTCACCAGTGGCGAACAATGAATGCCATCTACCTCTTCTTTTAGTCTAGAACCCCCCCTCCACCCCTACACACACACACCACCACCACCACCTCTGTCGCCATCTCATCAAAGTTTCTGAGCCAGCAAAGCACACAGCTCATTTTCAACGGGTAGCATAAAAAAACCTGCCAAGTTACCGTCGAGGGAAAATACATGAGTGCCAAAAGGCCAGGGCAGCAGTGCATCTCCAGGAGATGTCAGCGCAGGATAAAGCAGGGCAAATCCCCTCTCTACCCCCATCCCGAACTCTGACATGCCCACCTCGCCTATTATCTGGCAAGCACAGAGCAGAGGATGGGCTTTAGCTGCATAAAGTTGTCCAAAACTGGAAGTTGCTATTCGGAGCAGTAAGAGCCGGTCCCAGCGACAGACTAAGGGATCGGGGAGGAGGTGGTCGCTGCCATGGTCAATGGCAGTGAGAAATGTTGCAGGTGCTACCAGCTCTCTCCTAAATAGGTAGAACTCCACTTGTTTGTTCGTGAGTTACTGCCTCTGGAAATAACTCCAGTGGTGAAAGGGAAAAGCTAACAGTCTCAAATACCTTGCTAGCAAGTGCCTTGATGCTTTTTAGATTTGGGCAGTATTGTGGCTTACTTTTTTTTAAAAAGAGGCTGTGGGTTTTTCACCACTTGTTTAGAGCTCAGACTTTGGAGTCCAACAGAGCTGGGTTTGAATTCCAGCTGCAGCTCTAGCTCTGGTGAAGGCTTGAGCAAGCTGAGTAATCTAAGTCAGTAATTCCTGACAATGACTACCGCTAGTGCTTATTGAGCATGGAATATGAGCTCAATCTTACAAGAACCCCATGGGGGGTAGGTGCTACCAACACTTGCTATTTAACATACGGGGAGATGGAGGCAATAGTCAAGTAACTTGTCACATAGTGAGCCCAAAAAGTAAGGATTTTCACCCAGGCAGTTTGGCTCCAGAGCCCATATTTTTAGTTTTAATTTAGGGATGATAATAATGATACGGTCTTCATAGGATTGTTTCAGGTGTTCATGAGCTAATGCACTGAAAATCACTTAACCCTATACCTGACATTTAGTGTCCACCATAAATGCTAGCTAGCTATTATGAGTCTTGGGTGGTAGTAAGTCCTGTAACATACTGTTGAATGAATGAACAAGTGATTCTTGCTTTTTGTCCCAACTCATTACATTAAAAATAACTGCAATTAATTAAATGTCTGTAGGGCTGGTGAACAACCAAAGTGAACTTAAAAATGAAGTCGACAACCTTAGAAGTAGAAGCAGGTTGGAAATTAGTAATGATGCCACTGGCAGAGCTTCCTCTGCTCTTCAGTCCTTTTCACAAGTGCAGAAAACTGGGACTTTGAGCAGCCCAGGGCACCTGAGGTCAGCAGTCTTATCAGTAGAGAGCTGGGATTTGAACTTTGGTTTTCTGATACCTGGACCAGGGCTCATGTCTGGAAACTCTCAGAAGTTGTTACTGTATAAGAGGCTGGGGGAATTCCAGTGTGTTATGGGAGAACACAAAATGTTTTATTATTTATAGAGTGTTATGAAGTAACCTCATATAAATAAATAGCCCAATGCTTTAGTAGTTGTATGATAGTTAAAGTCCTCTATAAGTGAGTGTATCAATTATTCATTTTCCTAAGATCAGATGTGGACAATTTAACCTCCCTTCCACTACTTCCTTCAACATATTCTGAAGAATACAGACTAAAAATATTTTAAACCCATGATCATATCAAATATGGGGGAAAGGCATAGAAGGCAAATTTGCATGTTATGTTTAGAAACAGATTTATTATAGCAAAATGTCAATAGTGGGAGATGCATATCATTACTGATAAATCTGTGGTGAAATAAATACTTTCAATAACTCCTGTTTTCTGTGCCATGCCAAAATATATTTGGTGGAACTGAGCTTGTTTTGGTCAGTGCTTTCAAATTAACAGGTCTCTTAAAAAGACCAGATGTTTCTGCTTGACCCATTACTGATTTTTTGCACCCCTGGTGCATATTTGTATTCAAACTCTCTCCTTCAGTTTTCTCCAAAGATGTAAATAACTTGGTTGAAAATTTAACCTAGTGCATATGTAGCTAAACTCTGCATCCCAGAAGTGCAGGATTCCATGTTTCTGGAGATCCCAGGATGGTTTTAATGCTACACCACATCTTAGAGTCTTGTTCCTCTTATTTGTTTTTCCCCCTTGAATACCAGAGCCAATATGCTATTTTCTTGGATGTTTCTACTGGAGTTAATAAGGCAAAGGAAATCGAAAAAAAGCATTTCACGATTATGTCAATATTACGTATATTAACCTTTTTAAAAAATCTTTTTTGGTTATCATTATCACGGTAGCTACTTGGAGCATTTTTAACATGCCAATATCAGGAACTCAGCTGGGGTTGGACCTTTATTGATGATTTTGTCCCCAAAATGCAATGTAAATCGACATTTTAAAATGCGCTTTCTGAAAGAACACAGATGTAAACTCTGAAGTTTTATTTGATTAATCAATTAAATATCTTGGTCTTTAGTCATAATTTTTGCCCATTTAATTATCAGGTGATTTCTGTAATGAAAATAAATACTTAATCTGCCAATGGGGAGTCACACTGAGCCACTTGAAATGTTTAGAAGAGTAATACTACACAGTTCAGTCCACTCAGCCTATGTAAAAGCAACTCATTAATACCCAATCAATCTGATTCTTTGACTCCCTCCTCAGAGGTCTGAGAGAAAGGATTTGGGTGAGGGCAGGAAAATTAGATTTTACCAGGTGCTGTATACCTTTGAGCCCTGAAAGGTTTCAACCCCGACTAGGTAGGTGTTGGAGGGGGCCTGGTTTTGTCCTACAGGGAAAACTTACCTTTCTTGGTTTCCAGGCTGCAGCAGAGACAGGGTAGAAGACAAGCTCCCCATTGATGCCCAGGGTTCCTTTTACTTGAGGCAAATTCTCTAGTCTCGATCATTTGGCTAAAGGGAAAATTCATCACTTGTTGAACATTACAAATAAATAAATTCTCTTAAATTTGACAAGTTTACACACAGCAGTAAATTATCTGCATTAGGCAAAACACCCTTTTCCTCAAGTGGGTATGTAGCGGGCAGATGAAAAGGGTGTGGATTTATGCCATGGTATTCTATAGTAGAATATACTTGCTTAGAACTAGGTAAAATGTTAATTTACCTGAAGTAATTGCCACTTTTGGGTAGCCAGATGGCGAGTATACCCATGTTCAAAGTAGGGTACCTTAATTTAGATCCAGATGGTCGGATTGAAAGAGGAAATTTACCCAAAGTAAATGAACATTTTATTCACTTTCAAAAGGGAGACTGTTTTTCTTTGACAAACTTTGATTGGGTCTATAACATGCCACAATGCCAGAAGACAGAATAAAAATAGGAAGTCTTTTTCTGTCAAGGATTGTTCAGAGAGAAGCCATGATCTCCAAGTAAAATGGGAAAATAACATTGTGGTTCTCAAAGAGTATTGCAAAAAACTCATTTTGCAAAAACCTTGTGGAGAACATAGAGGATTTTATGGATAGACATT